ATGTCTGTTTTCGAAGATAACAATGAAGAGGTATGTGGATAACTTTAAAAAGCAATGAAAAAATAGTACTATACCTGATAATATACAGTGTCACATGAGTGATGAACGTTTACACGAAAGTGTCATTTATGTAAAAAAGGTACATGAATATCGTAAAGAGGTGGATAAAAAAATGGAATTTCACTATGTGATTATGAGCAAATTAATAAGCGTACAAAAATCTAACATGCATTTATGTTGTGACTGTCTGGATGATAAAATAACACATTCCTAGGAGCGATCCAATGATAAATTGTTAATCATTAATTGGTATAACAATGGAATAAATCGTGAAAATAAGTAGCATAGAATATAACAGAAATTGGTCTGTGGTATTCACACAATATAAGGATAAAGAGTAACGAAATATGAAAATGTTCTAACAAGCCGTGGTAAAGTAAATAGCGTCAATTAACAATTAATGGATTGGAATTTACATACATGAAGTTTGTATGGGATAAAAATAATCCAGACGTAAGATGATAACTACATTACTTACGCCAGTTACTTCTCGCGAAGGAGCATAGGCCGCTCACCAGCATTCTCCATCCAACCCTGTCTTGGGCAATCCTTTCCAGCTCTTTCCAGTTGTTATTCATTGATGGGTGATATTCATTTCTGTAATGCTACTGATAGTAATCATAAAATGCGAAGTCAGTGTACGTTGTCGTTTGAGTTATGACAGACGCATAGAGTTATCGTTAAATATGTATTAGTAGAATGGCCAGATGAACAGAATAGTCATTATGGAAACGAGATAGGCGAAGCCGTATTCCTTTTTGGTTGCGAAGTCTAGTGTAGTTTGTGTGGTTTGAGGAAGATGCGCTTGACCCCGTTTGTTACGAAACCATACTAACTTTCTTACTTACATCTGTCACCCTACGTGGAGTAGTATAGGCCGTTCACCAGCATTCTCCATCCAACTCTGTCCCAGAGAATCCTTTCCAGTTCTTCCCAGTTGATATTCATCCTTTTCATGTTTGCTTCCTATTCCTGACACAATGTATTCTTTGGCCTTCCTTTCTACCATTTCCCTTCAAGATTCTAAGATAGGGCTTGCCTCGTGATGCAGTTTGATGATTCCCTCAATGTATACTTTATCCACTTTTTCAATCGTCTTTTCCTAAGTTCCCCCTCAAATGGAACCTGGTTTGTTATTTCACACAGTAGACTGTTCCTGATGGTATCTGGTCAACGGACATTGAGTATGTTGCGTAGACAATTGTTAAGAAATATTTGTACATTTCTGATGATGGTTGTACTAGTTCTCGAAGTTTCAGCTCCGTACAGTAGAATCGTCTTGACGCTCGTATTAAAGATTCTCACTTTCATGTTGCTTTGAGTTCCATATGTTCTTCAATTGTAGGAATGCTGTTCTTGCTTTGACTTTACGTCTGCATCAGATCCTCCTTGTTCATCGATGCTGCTACCCGGATACGTGAAGGATTCCGCCTCTCTCAGAGTTTCTCCATCAAGTGAGATTGAATTTTTGTTCTCCGTGTTGTATTTGAGGATATTGTTTTTCCCTTGTGTATGTTGATGCTTACTGCTGTAGAAGTTGCTGCTACACTGTTGTCTTCATCTTAATTTATTCTTGTGTATGGGATAGAAAAGCTGGGTCATATGTGAAATCCAAATCGTCTAGTTGGTTCCGAGCTATCCATTGTATCATGTGTTTCCCTTTAGATGTCGAGGCATCCATAATCCAGTCAACCACCGGAAGAAAGAGAAAGAGAGAGAGTAAGCAACCTTGTCTGACTCCGGTCCGCACTTGGAGTGCACCTGTCAACTGTCCTCTATGCACCACTTTGCACTGTAGTCCATTATGTGAATTCGTATGATGTTAACTATCTGTTCAGATACACCATAAAGTCGAAGAAGTTTCCATAGTGTTCTATTATCCGCACTGTCAAGAGCCTTCTCATAATCAAGGAAATTGATGTGTAGTGACGAGTTCCATTCAATCGATTATTCAGCGATGATCCGTACTATCGCGATTTGGTTTGTGCACGACCGATCCTTATGAGGCCTATTCTGTTGTTCTCGAAGTTGGGCGTCTACTGAGTCTTCAAGTGCTACTGCTTTCACACTCTCGATTCGTTCGATGGCCATCGTAATTTCTTATGTAAGCTTGACACAATACCAGCTCCTACAGTTTCAGTGTATTTTTCAAGTTAAACTCTTTTTTAAAAGTTTTTTGGAATTATGAAAGCTCTTGATAACGAATATTCTTTTAATATTTCTAGTTATAAAACTGGATAAGTAGCTTAATATAATATATTCAAAGCCAATTATTTTTATGCTAAGTGGCACTCATTACCAAGGCTTATCTGCAAGCCTGATAGAGTGAATATCCACTGTGGGATTCGAACTCAATGGTTCATATGATGTCTGATGATTGACCATCAGGTGACTTTCTATAAGGCGACAATATATATGCTATTTGATCGGTGTGTAATGGTTTGCGTTTATCTATCTATCTATCTATCTATCTAACAAAGTAATCATATCCTGAAGACGTCCAGACAAGTTTGCTGGACGAAACTTTGGAATTATTTAAATTCCAACCGCTAAGATTATCTCAAATACGATTTTTGCAAATAATATTTAGGTGAATAGTATGAAACTTTTTTCACAATATCAATTTCTTCTTAGTTATCATTATAGATTTTGTTTCAATTGGATATAGGTAGTTGGCTATATCTTCAGGGAAAAAGAGTTCTAAAGAAATGAATCTCAGTTACACGTTAGATTTTAGAATTTAATTCTATAGAATGCAATAAAAAAACCAAACGTAGATATATAACGTTTACAACAAATGACGTAATACTAAGGTAACTATGCAAAATTCATACATTTTGAATTTGATCAACTGGTAATGTTCTAAACTTCAGCTAAGAAACAACCATTTACGACAGTATAAACTCTGAGTATAATCATTCAGAAATTAACAAAAAAAGAGTTAAAAGTGTTCTTCAATTACTGAACATAAAGTGTTAATAACAAGTTTCTTAAGTCACAGCCAAAGTTGTAAAGATAAGAGATGGAAAAGAATTTTTTAAAAACATTCTCCTCAGTATCTCCATGAATTTCGATAGGACAATATCATTTCGACAGAGTGAAACACTAATTAAAATATAATTACTGTAAATAGTAGTCTCAGAAGATTTTTCACTCTAAAAGTAGCTAATAAACTTTTGTAATATATAAAAAGGAACTAACACAAATCAACTTAGCCTCAGGTGTTTCAAGATGAACGAACAATATAACAAGAATTTTAGAGTAGTAATCGTAAAAAACTTAAGGTTGTAGGGTTAAGAATTTTTGTAAAAATCCTAATCAGAAAGGATAATGTTGCATAATGTGACGATTTTCAACTACTGTAATCCTGCCTACGTTTTTAAATCTCTAAAATGTTTATATACTTTGAGTATCAGTCAAATATAACTCCGCCTGGAGTCCCTCCGGGGGCTACTGCCGGTCCCAAGCCCGGATAAAGGAGGAGGGTTGGGCATGGAGTTAGCGACCCCATCCTGTAGAAAACTAACTCGCTAAAAAAACGCTAACGAGAAAAAAATTATTGATCAATCAAATATAAATCATTTGGCTTATAGTCAACTTATTGAAATTAATTTTTAATGTGATCTTAACCAAAATGAGTATAAATACAACACATCATTCGGATACTAATTGAAATTTCTTACTAGAATCAGTTTCAAAACTTTAGTTAGAAGTTCGAATCATTAAAATACAATGTCACTACCAACATAATATTACAGTTTTGATTAATCCCTTTGAAAAGTCGTTTTGTAAGTTGGAAAGTTTAAAGAATGTGGACACATGAAATACATGTTAATGTGATATATATATATATATATATATATATATATATATATATATAAATGTGAAACTGTGCACATGAATAGAGTATAAGTGGCCGTTGAAAACATTTTAACCACTAATTCTGTATATATTATATTTGCATCTGATATTCTATTATGAGGAAGTACTATTCAACAAACTAACCTGAGAGAATTTAACATCAAACTAAAATTCATTTATGTAAATACAAGGTTATTGTATTTAATCTAACCAAATTTTTCAATGGCCCAAATCATTTATGTCTCCTATTAGAAATTTACTATTATGTTGTCATTTTACTATCCCCCAGACTTATGAAATCATATGAGAATTGATTGTAATTCACATAAATAATATCTTATCTTTACCCCATATAATACTACATTGACAATGTAACTCAAGTTCTGTCTTCTTATCATGCATTACTCATTCAATATACAATTATCATTATCAAGTTAATTTGTAATAAAGCGTAAAATCTTTATAAAAAAAATATTATCAAATGCTGAATAATCATCATTATTGTAATCTGATTGGTTGTAAGATATGGGAGAAAAATATTTCCTGTATTCTTATTGGTCTATTTTTAAGGTATGTTGGGAATCAAATAACAAATCAGTACCGTTTCTATCTTATATTATTGACTTAAAATGTGACATTTATGATAATGAGATTGTTTTCTCTTTTTTTTTTTGTTTTGTCATTTAAATAAATACTATCAAATGTAAATGTTTAATTCTTATTATCTTTAATAAAAATAAAGCACAAAAAATAAATGATAATTACTCATTAAAGCTTATTTATATACACCCATTTAATTCCTATAAACAATAATGGTAATAATAACAACAACAAAATGAAACAAGATGATTCACAAGATTTCAATACTACTTATACAGAATCTGATAGTAATTTATATAAAAAATTATCAACAATAAAAACTAGAAAAAAATATCGATTTTATCCATTTTGGGATAATTCAATAAATTATTCACAATCATCTCTTCCATATTATCATACAAGATCAAGTTATTCAAATGAACCAATTCAAATTAAATCATTTAATTTAAAAATGATTAAATCAGAAAGTAATCCAGGAGTTTCAATAAATAATGAATTATTAATGACATCAAATTCAATGACATCAACATCTGTTATATTATCACCTATTACAAAACATAAAGAAATAACAACAAGTAATGAACCATTATTCGTTGTACAATATCAAAAACAATCATCTATACATAATTTAGAAAACATTCATCCTATTGTAGATAATCAACTTGATAAACATCATGATTATTATTATCACAATAATCATCATCATCATCATCATGATCGTGATCATCGTCATGATCGTGATCATCATCAACAATCAATCAATTCATGGAGTAAAAAACTAAAACATAATTGGAAATCTGAACCTTCTCGTTTATTTTTTAATTTTAAACGAAAAAGTACTTTTGAAAATGTTCATCATTCAATTAATTGTCAATTAAATGATCATATTTATAATAATCCATTAAATAATTCAAATATTCCATATTTACCAATATTATGTAATAGTTTAGAAAAAATTCATAATAAAACATCTGATTCCATAAATCAATTATATCATTCTTATAATCCATATAATACTGATGAAACTTTAAATCATCATACAAAACAACATTTTACAAATTCTAGTTTACATTATTCAAATATTCATTATCAATCACCTAATTATAATCATATATCCAATTCACATTATATTCAATCATTATCAACATTATCCGATAAGAATTTAATACATAATAATATTCATTCATTGAATTGTAAACAATCAATTACTGAACATTTAACCAAATCAATAATAAATGATTCATTATATAATAAACCATGTAATATAAATCATAAATTATCATTAATAAATGATAGATCTAAACGTGCATTAATTAATGTTGGCGGTTTTAGACATGAAATATTATGGCATATTGTAGATCGTTATCCAAATACAAGATTAGGTAAATTACATCATGCAACTAATTTAGAAGAATTATTAAATTTATGCGATGATTATGATCCAATTAATAAAGAATATTATTTTGATCGTAATCCAACTGTATTTTCAACTATATTAAATTTTTATAGATCTAAAAAATTACATTATAATGATATGATATGTGTAATGGATTTTAAAGATGAATTAATTTATTGGGGTGTTAATGAAAGTTTTATGAAAGCATGTTGTTCACATCGTTATCATCAACAAAAAGATTTAATTGAAGATGAAGTTAGAAAAGAAGAAAATTGTATAAGACAAACAACAACTATTGATGAATTTGGTTCTGGTTGGTATGCAAATTTAAAAAGACAAGGATGGAATTTATTAGAAAAACCGCATACATCTAGAGCTGCTAGGGTATGATTTATTTATTTATTTATTTATTTTTGTTGTTGTTGTTGATCATAGTTATATGTCAGCGTATTATATTATTATATATAACTATAAGTATAGAGTTGTGAAGTTTGTTGAATTCTGATCGAGATCATCAATCGATCATGGTCAGGTTACCATTGAAAACCTAGAAGGACTGGACGGTGGTTTTGTCCTATTATGGGACTTCTCAGCAATGCGCGTTCAATCATTTATATAAAACTTACTGCATGTCAAATTACAAAGATTTATTCACAAATATATTTTTAACATGTGGCTAAAATTGGAATCCAGAATATGTATTTTGTATTCTGATTAAAGCTAACTTAATGTATGCATCTTAATTTGAGTGTTGATTTTCACATTAAGACTCGATTCCTGTATTTAAGGTAATTCCTATTAATATAAACAGTTCGGGTAGCCATCACCTTATTTAACACATAGGAACATAACTGTAAGAGTTTATATTATCTTTTGGTTAATATTCATATACACTCAACCAACGAGTTCTAGATGTGATGAACTAGTTTACCTGAATTCCAGTGTTAGACAGAATGAAAAACACAACGGAACCATCCATCATTCATAATTCTGTATTATACCCCACTTATATATATGTATATATGTTATACTAAGTAATTGACTAAATACATACTATCTAATTCCCAGAACCAACAACTCATTGAATAAGTGATATATCATGCTGTTTTATTTAAGCAACAAACATCTTTTACATCACTTTACAATATCAATCTGTTCTTTTGTGAACAATAACATATATTTCATAGTTATACGATATATTAATAAGTGAATGATTTCATAGTCTATAAGTTTTCTTTGCATTTACATTATTTATTAAGACAGTTATACAAATTAGTAGTTACACAGATTTACAATTGATTGATCACTGGATGGTGATCAATGTCATGTATGTCAGGTCCTTCTTAGTGCAGGTCGAATCCTATCGACCAAGCTGCAATGTGGTCACCTGTTTAGGTGACTCGACATTATGTGCACTATGTTGAGATAAGATAGTGGTTGGAGGTAGTCAACAAGAAAAATTAAATCTAAATTTCGAAAGAGTTGGTTCCCATCAGGCAGACATACTTGTAACTTTAACGAAAATAATACTTCCTAATAAAAGTCAATCGTCACAAGTTAATTTCACAATCTGAAATTTTACTAATGATTACATGCTCACATTGTTGATGAGTGCCAACACCAAGAAATCTAGGTTAAACAGGCTTCCTTGTTTCCTATCTTCAACCACTTAATAAAATTCATTGTCAGAGTACAATCAAATATCAAATTGAGCAAATAATATACTAAACTAATCCATAATCCTATTATTGATCGCTTCCTATTAGAGAAAAAAAAGCAAGTAACTGAATGATTTTCACTCTAATCCATATAAAAAGTGTTACATGTATAAACAAATCGTATTAAATCAACTGAAAATAAAAATATTTTTTTCTTTAAATATTGAATATCTTTAGTTCTACAGACAACTTACTTCCTTACGTATGTTTGTTATTCCCAGTGGAGCATAGGCCATCATCTAGCATTTTCCAACTCACTCTATCCTAAGCCATCCTTTCTAGTTCTATCCAATTGTTATTTATTCTTCTTATATCTGTCTTCATTTCTCAGCATAATCTGTTCTTTAGTTTACTTTTTCTTTTTTGACCATAAGGATTCTAAGTCATATCTTACCTTGTGATACAGTTGAATGCTTTCTTCAATATGTGTGTCTTATCCACTTTCACCGTCTACAAACAAGTTGACAATTAACAAAAGTTAAAAAAACATGTTCATATCTTTACGTGATTTCTTTCTTTTTTCTCCATGATATACATAGATCATACATTCATTTTTCTAAGTTAAAATTTTACTTTAATTTTCTATAATCTTTCTCTTAATTTTTTTTTATATTTATTCACTTATTAAAACATACTACTGAATAGATAAGTTTTTATTCAGTAATCTGTTATTATTCTGTATTTTATTTTATTTTAATTTTTTTTTTGTATATTTTATATAATAAACCTAGATCAAACTAATTTTTCATTTATTTTATTATAAAGGACATTCAATCTTTACTTTTAAGGATTTGCATAAATTTATTACAACACAAAAAAATCAAAAGAAGAAAAAGAAGAAAAAAAAAGTAACGGAGAACAGTGAACAATCAAAAAAAAAACAAAACAAAACAAAATAAAACACAACTCATTTATTTTAACTAATTGTATTCAATATAATTCAGTTTGTTAGTCAGCTTATAATAAATCTTATAAGTCAACTAAAAGTTATCATGGAATAATCATTGAATTGTTCTTTTATTCTAGTAGAAGGACACATTTGAAGTATTTATTCATAATACGATCAAGGATCATATGTAGAACTGTCATGTTTTATTACAACAAGTGTTTAACATCAATTCCTTATGTTCCATTAACATCTTTTCATACAATTGGTGTTATTTGTTCAACTTTTAACTTGGTTGAATTCCATTGTTTATGACTTCACTATAGAAAGTGTTTCTCAATGATTGAAATAATAAATAGTTCAGTACTTATTAATTATCAAAAGTTATTTAAATAAACCATAAAAATCAAGGTGTTTAGTTTTGTTTAAGAATAAGAACAGTAATAATTGTTTTATATGTGACAGACAGAAATATTAATTAGGACGATACATTTTTTTTTAAATACACTTTCCATATGTTTTTTTGTATTTAACCATGTAATCTCTAAGGAATTAGGAACTATTAGTCTGTCATTTCTCTTCATTTTCATTAGTATGAACAGTATGTAAATGGGATTTGTTTCTGTTTTTTTGTTTTTTTTTGTTTAAAAAATTACACAAACAAACTCAGTAGAATGTATGATTTATGATAATATTTTAATGAGTATTTTGATGTGTACTACTAATGTCGACAAATATAAGTAGTATGTATCATCAATGGAAAGTGAAGTGTCTGCCGGCATAAGATTAAGAGAATGGAAAAGAAAAGAATAAAAATAAAGAATGATTGATATGGAAACAAAGGAATAATCAATTCTGAGATAATTGATGGATATATTGTAAATGAAATATTTACTGTATAGTTGTCAGATTTTATCAAGATATTCTGTAATGTATTGAAATACATTTGGTTGTCCCCATTTATGTTCTCGTTCACTATAGTATGACTGTAGTAGGAGATTTTATTCTCCTTAGTTATTTTGCAGATAATGTTATTATTATGTGTACATAAGGAAATGTTATTATTAGTAGCAGGTTAGTAATATAAAATTTAACTATAAGACCATTTTTTGTACATACTGGTAACTAACTTTGACAGCGAATTTCTGGAGTTTTGAACTTGGTTCACGAACAGAAATCTTTTTTTATTTCTTTTAACAATCAATAAACTCATTTAATTGGTAAATTAAAAATGATGAAAATAAAAGTGGAGGTTTTATAAATGATATGATGTTATCAGTTGAATTGTAACGTTACACTAAATGTAATTAGTGAATTCATATAGTTACTTTTCAATACTGTGCCCTTATTATCATTGACTTCGTCTCATTATTAAGGAAACCAAGAAGGATAAACCTGATCTATGAAGAATATATTTTACAGGAAAACAGTACCCTCTGTACAATTATATTTAAATAACTATAAATTGAAAATGAATTTTATATTGAATAAGTGTCAGAACAGAGTGATACTAGGGGATGACATAAACCAAGACGTCATCCGTTCATAATATTATTGACGATTGATTTGTGACATGTTGATTAGTATAGACTACCCGGTTAAAGTTAGTGTAATAACTATGACAAGTGGTTGGAGACATTGAACGTCATGGCTCCAAATCAGTTATAATGGCAAAGACACATCCATTTGTTAGCTTCTTAATGTTAAATCCTAATATCTCCTTAAACAAATCTTTTCATTTCATCTACTCTTAAACAATATTCTCAATGTTTGATCTTTCTAATAAACTTTAGAACTATAATCATTTTGATTCTATCTAGTACTCATCTTTTTAATTCCATCGATCGTTGTGATTATGTGGATTGCGATTGATAGTTGACTTACCTATCATACTCTCAATGGAAACTAACATTCTCAAATGCATTACAGTATGAAGATCATGAATGGACACTATTTCAAATCAAGTTATTTAATACTTCTCGCTTTTTCACTAATCCTTCATCTGATATGGGAACGATCCTCATGAACCACACTCCTTAAAAAAACTAAATTCAGTTATCATATTTACTTCACTCACTAGATGATTTACACTGATTGAACGCTAAGGAGTCACTAATGTGACTAACTAGTTGTTGATGTCTCAGTCTTACAAGAGGCCTGTACTGACTCAAGTAGCTTGTAGTGTCCGTTGATATGTTAAGCTCACACAGATAGAATAAGTTTTGTAAGCTTAACATATCAAAGGACACTAAAAGCTGAGCGATAACGTCTTAGATTGTGAAACCGAGTGGATTGGGGTCGAACCCATCTTGGAAGCCTCACTGCCCTCATCGTTACAGGTATACTTTAGTAAAGAGTGCTAATTAGAACAACGCGTAGATTCATGGTTTCCTCCCGGCTACTTGTAACAGCTAACACTAGATTATTTCCAAGAATATTGACAATTAACTTTACTTAGACCCAAAAATTGAACATTTGATTACAGTCAATCAATTAACATAGCACACCATAATTGCTATAAATATGTAACATATTTAAATGTTCATTGTTGGAAGTAAATTGATTTTCTATGAACAGTAATAATTCACTTAAATCTGAAAAGGTTATTTTGATTAATAGTTAAAACAATATCCGTTATGATCAGAATGTTTTAGGAAACAGTCAGGAATTCTACACAAAGATAAAACAGTGATTCAATAATTTTTGGTTTTCACTGGTCGTCCAAGATCATTTTATAATGTGAATAGAAATGTTTATTCGTTCAAACCAAAGATTATGAT